TGGACCGACTTTGGCGTTCCCTTGTCGGTTTCTGCTCACCTTCGAAGCACCATTCGGTCGATTGTTGTTTGGTGGGCATGTCAAATTCATAGACCCATGTCTCATCACCAGTTATGATGTGTTCGCTGAATGTGGGGTCACTATCTGCGTTGGAAATTTGATGCACGCACGTTGTTCTAATTTTTGATTTTATAAAAATCTAATTTTCGATTTTTCAATATAAAAATTGCCACACGAATATTTTTCAACGTTTTGTATAGACGCCAAACAAAAACTAATCGTACGATATGCGTTAAACTTTGACAGAATGTGTATAATAGTGTTGCCAGCGTGAAAATAAAAAAAAAATTTAGTGATTGGATAAGCGTGGGAAATAAAAAATTAAAATTCTCGTTCTTTTTTGATCACAAGGTATACCACTTTTTAAATATATATATTATTCTTGCTAGTTTTTAAATATCGAAATAAAAACTATTAAAAAAATAGTGTTTATTATAAAATGAAAAATTTTTAGACACCAATTTTTAATTTGATGATTTTTCTTTCTAATTTTTAAATCAAAGAGTTTTACTCAGTTTCAATATAATTATTAAAAAAATAAAAAAAAATTTGATTATTATAAACTAAAAAAAAACATAAATTACTTTCTTTTTGATTTTTTTGATTTTGATTTTAGGGTTTTGCGAAGGACGCAATAGGCCAAATCCGGTGAATACAATGACTGGGGCTTTGAAACGGTATTGTTTGTATTGAAAAACTGTGTACAAACAAAATATTCAAAATTTAATTCTTTCGTAACAAACTTCGTTGATTCAAGTACACAGTCCTACTTCCATAATATTGGTATAGCAATCCCATATTAAACTTAGAGTTTGCAGCTAATAGCATTTTTTAAGCCAAAAAAGCACTGCGCTCAATACAGATCTATTGTACAAACCGAATGCCAATGCTGATATCCCACACTAATATGAGATTAGTATCTGTAAAGAAATTTGCTTTGAAAAGATAACTTAATTTCAACCCATTTTGTCACATAATATCAAATTTTGCTGCTGTAAGTATCTAAACATTACAATAATAAAATTTATTAAATAATGCATATTTTCCTTACTTATAGATTTGAAAAATAATATAACATAAAGTTATTTCTATACGTTTTTTCTTTCGCAGCAGTTTATTTGTTATCATTCTTATCCATTTTGAGTTTAAAAATAATTCAAAAACAATCTTTGTTAGGAGTTTTTCCACTTCACCCAAAGGATATAAAATCAATATCTCCCACAAATGACAAAATTTGCACATAAAGCACCAAAAATAGTTCTGTAGCGTAAAGAAAGGAGTCAATACATAACAAAAATAGAAAAATAAAAAAAGTGTCCTTTAACGGTTCAGTAAATCTTAAAACGCAACATTGATTTTACATTAGAGAAAAATTAACCTTTTTTTCATTTTAACAGGAAATACTAGGGAAATCAAAAGAGACGAGTTCTAGTACCAAAAAAAAAACAACAAAACATGAAAGTGTTGGAAAGGGAAAAATATAAAAAATTACTGTAAAATTTTGTTAGAAAAAGTATTTTCCGAATTGAATTCAAGCCTATTAAAAGCAATCGAAATGCAATGAATCGGAAAAATACATGTTTAGAACAAGTTGTGAAGTATACTTTTAGGTGTCATAACACAATTTTAATTTTACTTTTATAATTCATGATTGAGCGTGACAATTTTCACCTGAGTCACGGTCAAAAATAATATCAAATCGGTTGAACCATCAACATCGTATCAACATTAAATGAACCGCAATATAACACATTTCCTCTTTAGAATAAAAAGGTGGAGAGATTTTATTTTTAAAAACGTTTAAAGATTTTACCGAATCCATATATTTAATTTTAGAAGAGTTGTTTGACATGTGGAATATCGCTTTCGATAAATTTTTTTTTGTGTTGTTTGAGTATAAAGCTTGATAGTAAAAAAATAATAAGAAATTTTTATCTGATGCTAAAAAATATCTATATTACATTTTCACTTTTTATAGATTCAACATAATGATACACTTACTTAGGGGCGCTCTAAAATCTATATTCATAAAATTTCCTTTACGAAGTTGATACACTTATCCTGCACACATACCGTTCAATGACCCACTGACTTTTCCGCATTCGTATTACGATTCTACACCTTATTTTATGCATTTATTTCTTTATTATATATAATAAATTTTTACAACTTGACACTAATTTTAAATTTTATTGCAACTTTACTGCAGGTAATTGAAATTTCATAAAATCTTTGGTGACAAAATAATATGGCACCGATTTTATTTTTTCGTTGATATAAAAATCTCAATAAAAATCGAAATTATATTTTTTCCCCGTTTCATATGTTAAAATAAAACCCGATATGTTATCGAAGTGAATTTGTAATTTTTCACACAATCAATAAATTTGTGGTTTTGAAATAATTCCTTTCCGAATCAATTGAGTTATAGATACAACCCAAAACAATTTTAGTATCCCCATTTTGATTTTAAATTCATAAAGGATTTGACTGTAATTTAGGACGTATAAATTTTCATCGAAAGTGGGTCATTTCAATGGCATGTTATGGAAACCACACTTTGATTTCTCTACTCAAAATGAAATA